CACACATACATGGGTACAGAAAAAAACGGTAAAGAATATAAGGTAGTGTACATTTTGAAAGATATCGAAAACCAGTCTATAACAAATGCGTGTTTGTTCATCTGTATGAAGATCAATAAGTTGCGAGTTAGAAATTAGAATGAAATTCTCTCGGTGATTTGATAAGATATCGTGTTTGCTGAGCGCTCTCGCGTGCAGTAGATTTAGCAACACCGCACTGGATAGACAGTTATACAAACAAACAGACATGAACGCACAAATGCAACACGAGGCAAAGATGAACGAGCAAATATATATATATATAATTTTTAAATTATGGACTATCAATATGTTATGCTGATCTTGCTCTGGTAGTTATGAGATCTGGATAAAAGCGTCTAGTGTGAGAAACGTGACGGGGACAACACCTATAGCGGATGGGTGTTTGAGTGGGTGAATCTAAATAAATACGGATATCTTCTATTTGAATTTTTTGTCATTGTCAGTTGTTCAAAAACTCGCAGAGAAATGAGAGATGCAGTTCAACCGCGAGGTTGATAAGTGTGAAGAAAAAAAATAATTTGACGAGAGAAGACTGACTAGCCGCGAGAATCTGACAAATGTATGAGTGTATTTTCTGACAGTGTGCATCATTATGCTGTTGACGAGACAACCGAAAAAAGAACGAAGTACAGTTGGAGAAACGAGCATAGGACAAACATATGAGAAACACCGAGACACGAACAATATGGACGATAAACGGACGAGATGGAAGGGTGACATCGTGGCGCACACGTTGTCCAAGCAGACCACAAGCGACGTATCAAGGCGGACTGCAGGTGCGCGCTGCAGCCTGCCCATTTGGCATGATTGCGGTTGACCCTGGGATAGGGGGAATTGGCGGAGCTGGTACTGTTGACGGGACCAAATGATGGGTATCCAGCTTTTGGGTATGGGGAACAGCTGACTGGTGCATACTCGGTGCTTCCTCCTCGTCCGCCAGGTCATCTTTTGGATTACGCTGTCGGTCAAAAAAGAACGATAAAACGCACTTTGGATAATCACTGGGTGATAACAACATTTCCATAAATCATCAAGTCGACCGCTTGGAGTACCGCTTTTGCCATTGCCACAGTATACTCATTGAGAGTGTAAATATTTGGCTACTCTTTTGCCAAAACCGTTTGCAGGGTGATATGCTTCTCGAATGAGCACTATCTGCCATCGATATTCAGATTATTATATGGAAGATTGTTATGCCTTGGTTCAGTTCAGCAAAGAGTGATAAAATATATTTTGATTACGAACCCGGTTTTTATTGCATTGTCGAGACGTGCGAATATTTGATTTTTTCTGATTGCTCTAGCGTCGGGTTAGCTGAGGTTAGACACATCTAACCCACAAACACTAATACAGAATCATCG